AAGTGCCCTAAAATGCTTAAGAATTTCATCAATCAAACCGCGTAGTGCGATAGAATTTTCTTTGTGAATCGGTGCTATATCAAACATGACTTTAATGTGAGTTTTAATTATACGTCTTTTATTGTCGAAGCGTTCGACCAACAGTTCCCAAGCTTCATCGTAATTAGAAGCTGTTATATCGAAAGATTTAATGACATTGGCGGCTTCGTCCTTTAGCGAGGAACGCAAATAGTGAAACTTTTGAATTGACGACAATTTATCATTGGTATGAATAAGCTTATCAAACGAATCGTAAAAAGTGTACCAATCCTCGTAGGCACCTGAGAAAGTTGGCAACTGTATCTTGGGTAATCGAATCTGCGACTCTGTGTCATTACGATTTACCGCCCGAATGTGATTGTTACTGGTCGACTGTGCCGCGCCAATAGATTGATCAAAACTACTGAGACGCTGCTCATACAAGGCCATGAGCCTATAATATGACTCTTCAAACCGTGCGCGATCTTCCGTATGTGCCGCGACCACGCCCGGATCCTCATTGTTTACATCTAAAAGCTCGAGTCTCGATTGTATTTCATCATATTGTTCGAATAAATCTGCTAATTTCTTTTTCCGCTCAGCTAACTCGAATTTCGATGCGTGCGCAGATTGTGGAGATTCTAAATAACTCTGAAGACGTGTGGCAGATGCCTTTATCGTCCTACGTTTTACCTTCGCTTCATTGACAGATAATTCCATTTTATCGCGATATAATACAGTGATGAAAACGCTAACTTACGTGTAATTGACAATGTATTACGGTTTGAAAATATCGTTACATATGCGCGTGGCGCTGAATCTTGACGATGAACTGCAGGGATGATGTCCTAGCGTTCCGTTGCTCGTTGCGTATAACCTGGTTGACGGATTCTTGGAATCCTCCGGTATGCGTCTATTTGATCTTTATTCCAGGATGCGAGGAATTTGAAGATCCGATGTGCGAGAAACAAATGGTTGTGTCGTCCGGCAGTATGACTGCCGCGGCGTGCTATCGAAATCCACCCAAATTTGTCGACGATTGATGTCTCCGACTAATGCTCGTGTGCTGTTACTTACTCTGTCGAGTATACCGCTAAGATTTGCACTTGGAGAGAACGTGCCGAAAATCTTTACGAACAAAGGGCACAATGAGCTGTGGTGCGTGGCAATATGGCTGCTCTCAATGCTCGAGAGTACAATGTATCCGGCTCGAAGGACCAAAATGTTAAGGAAATGTTCCTTGGCGACTTGCGTCGCGTGCGTATGAGTACGCTGATTATATCTA